TGGGAATGGGGGATTGGGAATGGGGGATTGGGAATGGGGGATTGGGATTGGGAATGGGGGATTGGGAATGGGGGATTGGGAATGGGGGATTGGGAATGGGGGATTTGGAATGGGAATGGGGGATTGGGAATGGGAATCCGGGATGCAGCGTTCCCAAAGAACCCTCTAGGCGATTTGGGATTGGGGTCAGCAGTTCCCTCTTGCAGTTCTGGGGTTTTATGGATTTTTCCCCTTTCCCCCCTTTTTTTTTCTCTTTTCCCTTTTCCAATTTTCCCTTTTCCCCTTTTTCCCTTTCCCCTTTTTTCCCTTTTCCCTCTCTTTTCCCTTTCTCCTTTTCCCTTCCCCCCCCTTTCCCTTTTTTCCCTTTCTCCTTTTCCCTTTCCCCTTTTCCCTTTTCCCTTTTCCCTTTTCCCCTTTCCCCCTTTCCCCCCTTTCCGTTTTTTCTCTTTACTCCCGTTCCCCGCCGATGCCCCGAATCCCGGGAACGCCGGGAACGCCGGGAACCCCGGGAATGCCGGGAATGCCGTTCCCGCAGGCGTACCTGGAGATGAACTACAAGGAGGCCGTGATCGCCGCCGTCAAGTTCGCCGAGACGGCGCCGGTGCTGCTCAACGGGAAACGCGTCCGGGTCTGCGTGGCCGAGAGAGCGCCGGTGAGGCACGGACCGACGGATTCCCACGGGAATTCCAGGGGAATTCTGAGGGGGGTCCTGCTGGGGATTCCTGCCGGGAATTCCAGGGAATGCTGAGGGGGGTCCTGCTGGGGATTCCTGCCGGGAATTCCAGGGAATGCTGAGGGGGGTCCTGCTGGGGATTCCTGATGGGGATTCCTGCCGGGAATGCTGAGGGGGGTCCTGCTGGGGATTCCGTGGGAATGCTGAGGGGGGTCCTGCCGGGGATTTCTGCCGGGAATGCTGAGCGGGGTCCTGCCGGGGATTCCTGCCGGGAATTCCGGGGAACGCTGACAGGGGATTTCCTGGGAATGCTGAGAGGGGATTCCTGCTGGGAAATCCATGGGAATGCTGACTGGGGATTCCTGCTGGAGATTCCTGCTGGGAATGCTCAGAGGGGATTTCCTGGGAATGCTGAGGGGGGAGTCCTGCTGGGAATTCCATGGGAATGCTGACAGGGAGTTCCTGCTGGGAATTCCATGGGAATGCTGACAGGGGGTTCCTGCTGGGAATTCCATGGGAATGCTGAGAGGGGATTCCTGCTGGGAATTCCATGGGAATGCTGACAGGGGGTTCCTGCTGGGAATTCCATGGGAATGCTGACCGGGGGTTCCTGCTGGGAATGCTGAGAGGGGATTTCCTGGGAATGATGAGGGGGGATTCCTGCGGGGAATTCCTGCTGGGAATGCTGAGAGGGGATTCCATGGGGATTCCTACTGGGAGTCCTGCTGGGAATGGTGAGAGGGGATCCCATGACAATTCCTGCTGGGAGGGGATTCCATGAGGATTCCTGTTGGGAATGCTGGCAGGGAATTCCATGGGAATTATTTAATCCTTCACTTTTTTTTTTTTTTTAATTAATTACTGTGAATTAACACCAGTCATTAACGAATTTTACTTTTTCCCTTGCAGGTGAAGAAGACGGTGAAGAAACGAGTCCTGAACCCCAAAAAAACTCCAGCCAGCACCAAGTGAGGCCCGCCTCCTTAATTAGCGCTAATTGCACTAATTGGGGTCATTAATTAATAATTCCTCATTAATAATTTGATTTTTTTGCCGCTTTTTTCTCCCGCCAGGAAAATCCCCAGCAGCAGCACCAAGAGCCCCAAGGCCCTGCCAGGTGAGATAATTAGCAATTAATCACTCATTAGTGCTTAATTAACCTGCCTAATTGGCTGAATTAATTTTAATTTATTTGCGTTTCAATAGGAAATTATTGAATTTTGTTTTTTCCTATCCCTGGAATTCCTTGGATTTTTTGGGGATTTTTTTGGTTTTTTTTTTTTTGTAGGGAAGAAGGAAAAAGTGAAGAAAATTCCGGGAGAGAAGAAAGTGAAAAAAATCTCAAATGTGGGAGGTGAGGGGGAAAAATGGGGAAAAAATGGGAAAATTCTTGGGAAAAAAATGGGGAAAAAAATTGTTAAAAAATCCTCAGAAAAAGGGAAATAAAAACTTGGGAAAATGGGAAAAGAAAATGGAAGGAAAGTTTAGAAAAGGGGAAATAAATTGGGGTAAAAAGTTGGGAAAATGGGGAAAAAATGGGGGAAAAAATCGGGAAAATAGAGGAAAAACTTGGGAAAATTTGGGGAAAATAGGAAGAGAAAATGGAAAAAAATCTGGCAAATGGAGAAAATAAGATGGGAAAAAAAGTTGTGAAAATGAGGAAAAAATGGGGGGAAAATTGGGAAAATGGGGGAAAAATCTTGGGGAAAATGGGAAAAATGTGGGAAAATGGGGACAAATATTGGGAAAATGGGAAATAAACCTTGGGAAAATGGGGAAAAATATGGGGGAAAACCTTGGGAAAATGGGAAAAAACTTGGGGAAAATGAGGAAGAAAGTGGGGGAAAATTATTGGGAAAATGGGGAAAGATGTGGGGAAAAAAGTGGGAAAAGTGGAAAAATGAGGAAAAAACTGGAAAATGGGAAAAACCGGGGGGAAATGGGGAAAAATCTTGGGAAAATGGGGAAAAAAGTGGGAAAATCGGGAAAATGGGAAATAAACTGTGGGGTAAAGGGGAAAAAATCAGGAAATGCTGAAGAAAATGGGAAAAATGTGGGAAAATGGGAAAAAATCTCGGGAAAATGGGAAAAAAATCCTGGGAAAATGGGGAAAGTACCTTTGAAAAAATGGGGAAAAAAAGGAAAATGGGATAAAAACATGGGAAAATGGGGAAAAACCTTGGGAGAATGATGAGAAAATGGGGAAAAAAGTGGAAAAATGGGAATTGGGAAAATGGGGAATTGGGAAAATCGGGAATTTTTCCCTGCAGGAAAAGCAGCGGCTGAAGATTCCGGAGCTGCTGCCGAGGCCGGGCCGGAAACTTTGGGATCGGAGCCCTCGGATGCCAAAAATTCCGACCCCAAAAATCCTGACCCCAAAAATCCCGACCCCAAAATCTCCCCCGAGCAGGAGGAGCCCGGAACAGTCCCCGAGGCCGGGCCAGGTAATTCCAGGGAATTTCAGGAATTTTGGGAATTCCGGGGAATTTTCGTGGAGCTGGAATGGGGAAAAATGGGGAAAAAACTTCTGGAAAATTGGGAAAATTGAGGAATGGGGGGAAAAGTCCTGGGGGGATTTGGGAAAGAAGTTTGGGAAAATGGGGGGAAAAAATGGGGATGGAAGTTGGGAAAATGGGGAAAAAAAGAGGGAATGGGAAATAAAATGGAAAAAAGTTGGGGAAAAGGAAACAGGGGGAAAAAAACTGGGGAAAAAAATTTGGGAAAATGGGAAAAATTGGCAAAAAGAATTCGGGAAAATGAGGAGGAAATTCGGGGGAAAAAAAACTTGGGAAAATGGGAAAAAAATGACCCAAAAAATTGGGGAAAATTTGGGGAAAAAACTTGGGAAAATGGGAAAAGAACTTGGGAAAAGGGGGAAAGAAAATGGGGAAAAATTTGTTAAAATGGGAATTAAAAAGTTGGGAAATGGGATAAAAACCCTCTGGAAAATGGGGGGGAAATCTTAAGAAAAACTTTGGAAAATGGGGAAAAAAATTGGGATAAATTGGGGGGAGATGGGGAAAAATTGGGAAAAAATGTGGGAAAATGGGGGGAAATCTTGGGGAAAGGGGGGTTAAAGGGAATTTGGGAATTCTGTGGGGTCGAGCTGCTCCTTTTCCCCAATTTCAGAACTTCCAGCGAGCGAGGAGCCCACGGATCCAGGCGGGAAGGTCAGCAGGGATTTTGGGATTTGGGGGAATTTGGGGAATTCTGGGGGTTTGGGAACTGTGGGAATTGGGAATTGTGGGAATTGTGGGGATTTGGGAATTGGGGGGATTGGGGGGATTTGGGAATTGGGGGAATTGTGGGGATTTTGGAATTGTGGGAATTGTAGGAATTGTGGGGATTTGGGAATTGTGGAGGATTTGGGATGGGGATCAGGATCAGGTTCAGGATTTGGGATCAGGATCAGGATTTGGGATCAGGTTCAGGATTTGGGATCAGGTTCAGGATTTGGGATCAGGATCAGGATTTGGGATCATGATTTGGGCTCAGGATCAGGATTGGGATTTGGGATTTGGGATCAGGATTGGGATTTGGGATTTGGGATCAGGATTTGGGATCAGGATTTGGGCTCAGGGTTTGGGCTCTGTCTCAGGATTTGGGATCAGGGTTTGGATCAGGATTTGGGCTCAGGATTTGGGCTCAGGGTTTGGGATCAGGGTTTGGATCAGGATTTGGGCTCAGGGTTTGGGATCAGG